ATGGGCAGGTGGCAGCCCCAGGCCTGGTGCCTCTTGGAGGTCTCCAAGTTAGTGAAGCCATGCATTCGATGGCAGAAGGGAGGGGAGAGTGCAGCACCCTTGATGAGCTAGAAGAAAATGAAGGCCAGTGCTCGTGAGCACCCCGCCTGTCATGGCTTAGGCAGATCCCTCGGACATGTGTAAGATGTGCTGGTGCAGAAGCACTACCCCCAACACACTCACACACACACACACTCACAAACATGGCCCCGGGAACCACACCTGGTCTGGTCTAAGGCAAGCCGGCTCAGAGGGGCATGTTTCAGTGCTCACCTGTAGGTCAGAGGTGAAACTGCCTGGTGTTTACTCCTCAGAGTCTTCTCCTTGGTAACTGTGCTATTGTTGGGAAAGGTGACTAGGCTTGCAGAATATTATTTGGCAACAATGCAGAACAGATATTATCTCTTGCCTGAGTGTTCTGGAATACCGACTGTCCAGACGGCTTGATGGTTGACAGAGATAACGCGTATGAAAGCCTTTGGTAAACTATAGAGCTTGATGACAATAGAAGGTACTCCCAGAAAAGTACTGACGTTGACATTTTGCAGCTTGGGAGGCCTGAGATTAATTGCCTCACCTTTTATTTTTCCAAAAATGCAAAGGATATTGTTTTTGTTTCTGTTATTATGCTATTTATCTTTGTTCTTGGTAATCAGTAGTTGATTGGATCCAATCTTAGCAAAATATTTTGGGTATGTGTTAGTTGGTTCTCAGTACATACTTAGATGTAAATAGAGAAAGTGATGAGATTACCAGCCCTGGTATGTCACACAGATGCTTAGACACAGGTGCATTGGACAGGAGACTCTGGCTTAATAAGCACAAAGATTTGCTCTCTCAGGAAGTCTTGGTGGGAAGAGCAGCCCAGCAAAGGCTATGTGCCTAGCTGGGCCTGGCAGCTGGCAGTTTGATCACATCTGTCAGTTTGGTGTAATCAGTGAAGTATAGAGAATGGCCTTTCAGCTTCACAGTGCATTAGAATCACGGGGGACCTTGTTAAAATGCAGAATCGGGCTGAAGAGGTCTGGGGTGGTGCCTGAGATTTGCATGCACAACAACAGGTAATAAAGCTGATGCTGCTGGTTCTCAGGCTCTACTTTGAGCATCACAGGAATAATAGTACTAATAATTTTAAGGGTCTTCTATAGCAGGGCTAGGCACCATACAAAATTCTTTTTCTTTTTTTTCTTTAAAGAGATTTTTGCCATCCAGCACATGTGCTCGCCAGAGAGACACACAGAGAGAGAGAGACAGAGAGAGAAAGCAAGAAATCACTCTCTAGGGGGTTGGCCATGCTCCAATTCCGTCTCCTCCATTCTCCTTTCTGAATTTTGGGCATGCACGCACACATGCCTGGTGTGAGTTTCAAGCCACTGGGTCCAGGACTCGAACCACAGTTGCCATATGGGAGTCCAGTAATGTAACCATTATACCTTCTGCTGATCCCAAAAATTATTTACCTTTTCATTTATTTTTCTTTTTCCTTTTTTTGGGTACCTTTAGATATTTTGCTTTAGAGTGCGACACTTGCCAGAGAGAGAGGGAAAGTGAAAAATTGATACCCCACCCCTCACGGGGTGGGGATGACCATACTATAATCCCTTCTCTATTCTCTCAGGCATGCACACCCATGCACCCAGGGTGATTTTTAAGCTGCCAGGTCTGGGACTTGAACCATAGACTCAACCATGTGGGATCTAACGCCCTATCCACCATGCCACCTCCTGGCCCCAGAATTATGTTTAATTCTCATGGCAACTATGTTCATGAAAACACTGAGGCAGAGAGAGTGAAGCACTTGCCCATCATCATTCAATCAATAAGTGGCAGATAAAGGATTGAACCCAGACCTGCCTTGATGCCAAAGCTCTTATTTACCAGCTGCCCACACTGGGGGTGGGGGAGGGCAACATACATGGGTTCCAACCCCACTTCGCCCCCATTAGCTCTGTGAGGCCGTGCCAGGACCGGCCCCGCCTGTCGTCGTGTGTTTGACCCACAGAATGGGGTGTCACAGCTCCTCCTAGGGATAATGTGGGCCCCACATGAGTTACAGTGCTTACTGCAAAGCAGTAGTAGTTGCTCATTCTTAGTCTACAACATCGAGAGCAAAATTTACAAAATAAACTGGACTGCGCAAAATTGAAACTCTTGAGCAAAACATTTATATCTAAGATGATGGCGTTATTTGGCCTGTTAAGCAAGGTTCAGCCTTGGGGCCTCTCTCTTTAACGTGGTGTAAGTAAGAAGGTCGTGTCCCCATGTGTGTGTGTGTGTACGTGCATGTGAGTGTGTAGATGTTGGGTTACACCCTGGCTGGCACAGCAGGAGGGGACTCACATACAACATCTAATTTCCTAGTAGATCAAAGCCTAAAACCATCCATTACAGAATGATAGACGTGGCTTCCTGTCTGTCATATGTCATTAAGAAAAACCCAAATCGGTCGCGTGATATTTAAGCTCCAGGTACTACCCCGAGCAAGGTAAAAGCTTAAAAGAAACATGGGTTGGTTTTGGTGTGTGCAGCTTTTCCCCCAAATTGTCTGCACGAGGTAGATTTTAATTAAATTGACCCAGCCGTACAAACACATTCTCACAGGACACTTGAGCTTATGAAGTCCTGGCTCCCTTTATCTTCATTTTAGATTATAATCTGGGTCACTACCTGCCAGCTCAGACACCAGCTCACATGCTGCCACCCACCTGCAGCCCCACCTGCCTCCTCCCAGACAGGTGGACAAGCAGAAAGTGGTGCTTACATTTGAGACAGGTAGACAAGTTTTAGAGAAGCAGGAGGTGATCTGGGCTTGTCACCTGAGCAAAAAGCAGCCTTCTGACTTTCACATGGGCAGCAGAGAGCTTTGTAACACTTGTAAGTGTCAAAATATTTGTGTTTTGTTCTTTTCACTGACTTTACTACTTGGTTATTTATTGTCAACAGCTTCAAGGGTTTCAAAACATTCTAGTCATCCAGATTTAATCTGGTGCATCCTCAAATGCTGCCTCTTACTGTAAGCACCATGTTGTTTGGTATAGTTATTCTTTTCACTGAGAATTGTCAGGGAGTCCTGTGATAACAAAATACAGGATAAGCTCCATGTTTCGACCCTCACTAACTCCACCCCAGCTCCAGTGGCCTCCTCGTTGTTCTTCAAACATCCTTTTTTTTTGCGGGGGCGGAGGGAGAGGTTTTTGCTATAGGGCACGTGCACTCTCCAGACAGACAGAGAGAGAGAGAGAGAAACAGAAAGTGAGAAATCATCCCCCCAGGGGGGATGGCCATGCTGCAATCCTTTCTCCTCCATTCTCCTCTTGGGATCTTGGGCATGCACGCACATGCACCCGGCGTGAGTTTAAGTCATCGGGTCTGGGTATCGAACCGTGGTCGACTACATGGGAGCCCAGTGACATAGCCATTACACTAACTGCTGGTCTCAAACATCCTTGACCCTCTCATACCCCAGTGCCTTTACACTTGCTGCTCCATCTGCCTGTATCATGGTTTATTCCCCAGCCTCCTTGAGATCTTCAGTCCAACACCACCTGGTAGTGAATCCTTGTCTGGCCAACTCTCACACTAGCACACCCTGTATTCCTCTTTTCGTGCCTTGTTTTCCTCTGTGGCATGCTTCCTGTTTGTTAATCACCTGTCAGTGTCTATTGCCACGAAGGCTACATGCAGACTTGCTCCTAGCCCCTGGAGCAATGTCTGGCACATCATAGATGACCATTCACATTGTTCAATACATGAATTAATAATCCTTTTTTTTAAATGAGATTTTTGCAATAGGGCACGTGTGCTTACCTGTGAGACAGAGAGACAGAAAGTGAGAAATCACCCCCTGGGGGGGTGGCCATGCCACAATCCCCTCTCCTCCATTCTCTGGAGTCTGGATTTTGGGTATGCATGCACACGTGCCTAACATGAGTTTCAAGCTGCCGGGTCCAGGACTCAAACTGCAGTAAGCCATGTGGGAGTTTAGCTACGTCCATTACGTCATCTGCTGGCCCCAGAATAATTCTTTTTTTGTAAAACCAATGCTTCCACTGAAAAAATAACTTTTTGTCAGGAGAATCTCCATTGTTATTGAGTATTTATTCACTCATTTATCAATTCAAAAACACCTTCCCATTTGTATCAGGCAAAGCCTGTGCTCACCACAGTGGGCATTCACCTGGGCTGCAAGATCCTAACTCTGTTGTGTGGAAATGAACAAATGTTTATTAAGTCTACATTTGTCCTGCTTTTTTGTTATGTTCTTTTTTGTTTGTTTTACTAATTGAAGTTTTATTTTATGTTTAAAGTTTATTCTTTTTTTTTTTTTTAAGATTTTGCTGTAAGATCTGTGCGCTCAATGGACAGGCAGAGACTGTGAGAGGGAAAGTGAAAAATCATCCCCCGAGGGGGTTGGCCATGCCACAATCCCTTCTCCTCCCTTCTCCTCCTAGGACCTTGGGTGGGCACCCATGCACACACACCTGGCATGATTTTCAAGCCACCAGGTCTGAGATTTGAACTGTGGTTGGCCATGTGGGAGTCTAGCTCCTTAATCACCAAGCCACCTACTGGCCCCTATTCACCTTATTTTTTTTCCCCATGAGACAGACAGACAGAAGGGATGAGATGACACTCCCAACAAGGTCCTCTTGCAGTACTCCCTCCCGCCCAGTCTGAGCCAGACAAGGTCATGGGCACATGCATGCCCGACATGTACAGGGAGGCCTCTGGGCATGAACCTCGACCTTCACACGTGGATCCAGCCTTATAGAGCGTTGCACTGCTGTTGCTCCGCCAGCTGGCCCCTGCCTTCGCCCTTTCTGAGAAAGCAGGCTGTGGGCCATGCATTTATTTGCAATGACTCTGTGCCCTGGCCATGGCAGGACCCTGGTGCCAGCTCAGCTTCTTCCTGTCGTCCTGCTCTTCTGCAATATGTGTGTTTGCTCTCGGTGCATGAAGACATGCTGCTTGGCTACGGGACCATGAACGAGGTATCTTGGGCTTGTCTTCCTATTCAAAGCCTGATCCAGGAGCCAGCAGCATCGGCAGCACCGGGGAACTTGGCAGAAGTGTTGACTCTCCAGCCTCACCCTGGCCTCCTGAATCAAAGCATGCAGTATAACAAGACCCCTGGGGCTCTCGTGCACACTGAAGTGAGGGCAGCTTTGCCTTCACACACAGGAGACAGTTTTTGTCTCCAGCACACAAAGAACAATGTGTGGACTCCGGTGGGAGGTCACAAGTAAAACCAACAGCTACTCATTGAGAACTAGCCATGTGTAAGGCCATGGGCTCTTAAGTCATGGTTTAGGATTATGCAT